TATATATATATATATATATATATATATATATATATTTACACACAATACAAATAAATACCTTCAATTAAACCATCAAAAATAACAAAAACAAAAATGGCACTATAGTAAAAAAAATTTTTTTTTTAATTTATGCAATTTTATTCATTTTTGCTTTTTTTTATGTTTTTGCTATGATGGTAGAAATAATAAATATAAAAACATTAAATTAATATGAATACAAAACTATGTTACTTATTATATAATTAATATTTTTGAATTAATATTTAAATAATTGAATGAGGTTTTCCTTATTTTCATGAATATTTTCACTCCTGCAGGAGAAGCGTACTGCGTTTCCTCGGTTTTACTTCACTGGAGACGACGATCTACTGGAGATTCTCAGACAGGCCACAAACCCTACTGTCAAACACACACACCTGAAGAAACTCTTTGCAGGTAACACACACACACACACACACACCTGTTCACAGTTATCACACAAGCAGTTGCATATAGACGTGGGATGATTGTGTGTTGAAGGCATCAGCAGTGTGGTGTTTGATCAGAGTTTTCAGAGCATCACAGCCATGAAATCACTGGAGGGCACTGTCTCCATTAGTCTGTGTTTTAATTTGTCTCATGATTTGGGCTTATGGTGTGACATGCTGTTAATTATATTATAGTATGTATGTGTGAGTGTGTGTGTGTGTGTGTGTTTAATATTTTATTCATTTAGATTTAATATTCATTTAATGTTTGGGTTTTGGTATTATTTGGTATTCATTCTAAGATATTTTGTATTATGTTATTTTTTATTTAATATTTAATTTTGTGGGTTGGTGCCAGGTTTGAGATATATTTTATTTTTAAATATTTTAGAATTAAATATTTAATATTTAATTTTGTGAGTTGGTGTCATGTATCGGTTTACAGTATCTATAAATATAATTGAAATAAATATAATTATATTTAAATAAATATAATGATTAATTATATAGTTATTATTATAGTTATAATTAACTATACTTTATATAAAACCTGCCACCAACCCACAAAATTACAATTAAAATGAAAGAATAACATATCTATAAATTGTAATTTTTAAATACAAAAATGCTGTATATAAATATATTTTGTTTCATATTTAATATTCCTTTCATTTTGTGGGTTTGTCAGGTTTGGCTGACGGAGATGAAAAACACTCTTCTGTGTGAGTGTGTGAATGCCGGAAAGAAAGGAAACGTGGATCCCACGCGCTTCCCTTCTCAGGTAACACACACACACACGCATGCACGTCTCTTCAGAAACACCCATGAGTCTCTGCGGTTCAGCTGAAGTCACTGTGGAGTGACTCTGTGCCTGGCAGAGCAGATCCAGTTCACAGTGGACCACACTGCAGGTACACCGACACCTGACTGTGTGTGTGACTTTAAATTGTATCAGTAATATTTATAACACCTTTCATATTTGCTGTTATTTGTCTATTTTTTTAAATTATTGTTTGAGAAAAGGATAATTTAAATATAATTAGAATATTTAATTAGTTTGAATTATAATACACACACTAGGGCTGTCAAATAAAAATATTCATTGAATTTAAAATAAAAATCAACATTTGAATGCAAAAAACCGTTGCATTCGAATTTTAGGTGTGCGTTAAGGCAGCCCATAGACAGTGAGGCAGCCTTATCAGTGGCGCACGAGATGCGATGACAATGCAAGTGTCGTTGCATTGTAATGTTTTTGTTAGTCTGTCCAGTTGAAGCCACTAGATGCGGCGCTGTTGCGTTGTTCATTAAAAATATTGTGGAAAAAGCATATTTGCTGTTATTTGTCTATTTTTTTTAATTATTGTTTGAGAAAAGGATAAATTAAATATAATTAGAATATTTAATTAGTTTGAATTATAATACACACACTAGGGCTGTCAAATAAAAATATTAATTGAATTTAAAATAAAAATCAACATTTGAATGCAAAAAAACGTTGCATTCGAATTTTAGGTGTGCGTTAAGGCAGCCCATAGACAGTGAGGCAGCCTTATCAGCGCGCACGAGATGCGATGACAATGCAAGTGTCGTTGCATTGTAATGTTTTTGTTAGTCTGTCCAGTTGAAGCCACTAGATGCGGCGCTGTTGCGTTGTTCATTAAAAATATTGTGGAAAAAGAGACCATCAGTGCAGAGAAGATCTCCAGAAACCAAACTGTTCACACAGAATGCATATTTGGTGCATTTTCTACAGGGACATCTATCAACACTTCACTCTCGTCTCCGCATGTTTAGAAAACCATGCAAAATTAATGCAAGTTCAAATTTGAAAAAACATACCTCAAGAATTTATGGCGGGGGTTTTTCCCCCATCTCACTGCATCTCATGATTTTAAATGAAAAAAGTACTCTGTGTGATTGGTTTTCCTTTGTATGCACTACATGATGCTGTTTTGTTTATAGTTGTTTAAGCAACTTAATTATAATTGGTTTATAAACATCATTTTAAACATTATGCACTTTTTTCACAGTCATGTTATTTGAATAAACGTGCATTTGTAATATTTTGCTCGATGCACCCTGTTGTGGCCAAAAGCTTTTTTTCACCCTTACTGAAATTATGCCTTTCAAATTCAAATATAATTCGAATATTGATTATTGATTGATTTTAATTTGAGTTTTTCAGGCATTTTGACAGCCGTAACACACACACACACACACACATATAAATGAAGAATTATTATATTATGTTATTAATAAATTATTATATTATATAAATGAATTATATGAATAAATAATTATTATACACAATTTCCAGACAAATGTCCCCAGCAGTGAGGTAAATGTGACAAAACATTCCTCAAAAATAATAAATAATTACTATAATTGGTATTCATTGTAATTATAATAAATGGTCTTTTCACATTTTGAAATGGCAAGTGTGTGTGTGTTTCAATGACACTGCTCTGGGTTTTTAATTTCTTTAATGTGAATTTCAGTGTTTTTTCTGACTGCAGGCGATTCAGAATGAAGCCTTTAATTTTCTGGCTGCATATTTACAGCGTTCGCTAATTGTCAGGTTAATCAAATGAATGAAGCGATGTGAATATCCATAAAGCTCTTTACTCCGTTTATGAGCTCAGGGGTTTATTCACTGCGATTCACCATAAATTGAAGTAAATGGAGCTTCTGATGAGTCTCACTGTTAACCGTGATTATGGCTAATTCTGCTTATAAGTCACCCTGGAGAAACTGCTGCTGCACGGTGGAAATGGTCCATTACAAACACTTGCCTCTGTTTGATAAAAACACATTACATGCTCTCCACCCCTGCTCCCAATCTAATCTGCTCTTCAAATGTGTGTGTTTTTGAGGACTTGTTCATTATTAGTAGTGCTTGCTTTGAACAAACCCTAACACTATTCAACTTCAGCTTTTATTAGCCGTTAATGTGAGTCTGATGGTTTTGTCTTGTAGAATGAAGAGTTCTGCACTTGAAACTGAAGACTCTGATTCTGGACGTGATTCACAACATCTCAGATGCTCAGATTCACAGCACCGATGACTGGATCTGGAAAAACAACTGCGATTCTACCTGAACGCAGAACAGCGCTGCTCGATACTAGAGGTCGACCGATAGTGAATTTTGACGATAATGATAGCTAGGTTGGACCACACTGGCCGATAGCGATTAATTAACCGATAGTTTTTAAAATGGATACTGAACAAAAACTAAAATAGTGCTTTATTAAAAAAACAGTACTGAACCATACTAATAGTAGTAGTTGTAGTAGTAATAATAATAATAGTAATAGTAAATGTTGAAATTAACACACTCTAACAAGGAACAATACTTATACAGCTTTCATTAGGGGTGTAACGGTATGCGTATCGTGTACCAAACGGTTCACAGGCAAATTCCAAATGGAAGTGATCATCCCTATCCCCTTGGAGTGGGGACTTTGTAGCGAGCAGGGCACTTGCGTGCCATTATGTAGTTGTTTGGAATGCACTTGGCAAAGGGAGCGATGTAATTTCCTCATTATCTTCAGCTGGGATGTTCCCGTGACAACGCAGCATGGTGTCCATCAGCAGATGCCGCTGTTTTAATGTCATAAATGTCTTTTTTATTGTTGTTAGCATAACTGTTGCAAATAAACATGCATTTTATGTTTTAAAAAGTTTTTAAAATATGCTATATAATATATAAAAAATAATATATATAAAACTTTTTTAAATATAAAATGTATATTTTTTTTATGCCGGTGTCCATCAGCGAACCTGCTGTACAACGAGCGAGTACTACAATTACAAACCATTCTATAAATTGACATTTCAGCACTTGACAAATGGATAGCGACTCCTAAGAAGCACTTAAAGGGATAGTTCACCCAAAAATTAAAGTTTGATGTTTATCTGCTTACCCCCAGGGCATCCAAGATGTAGGTGAAAAATAATATATATAAAACTTTTTAAAATATAAAATGTATATTTTTTTATGCCGGTGTCCATCAGCGAACCTGCTGTACAACGAGCGAGTACTACAATTACAAACCATTCTATAAATTGACATTTCAGCACTTGACAAACGGATAGCGACTCCTAAGAAGCACTTAAAGGGATAGTTCACCCAAAAATTAAAGTTTGATGTTTATCTGCTTACCCCCAGGGCATCCAAGATGTAGGTGACTTTGTTTCTTCAGTAGAACATAAACAAAGATTTTTAAGTTAAACCGTTGCAGTCTGTCAGAAACTTACACAAACAAAACCAAATTAAATCCTGCGGCTCGTGACGATACATTGATGTGTAAGGACAGGAAACGATCGGTCTGTGCAAGAAACTTATTTATATTGATTTCTACCTCTGATTTTCACCGCAATGTCTGAACTGTCTGTCCTGAGTGCGTCCTCGACAGCAAGTGGACCATTGACACTCCTAATTGAGATTGTAGATAGAGTGTCAATGGTCCATTTGAGAGATAGGTGGCGGTAATGCACTTATAAGTCTGTGATCTGCCGTAAAGCAAGAAGAAGAAGAAGAAGACGCGTCACGAGCCGGCTGTCAAGGACGCGCTCAGGATGATTCACATTGCGGTGAAAATCAGAGGTAAAAAAACGATATAAATACTGTTCAGTTTCTTGCACAGACCGATCGTTTGGTGTCTTTACACATTAATGTATCGTCACGAGCTGCAGGGTTTAATTTGGTTTTGTTTGTGTATGTTTTTTTGACTCTCAAAGCTGTGATTCCCATCCACTTGCATTATAAGACTGACAGACTGCAACGGTTTGACTTAAAAATCTTCGTTTGTTTTCTACTGAAGAAACAAAGTCACCTACATCTTGGATGCCCTGGGGGTAAGCAGATAAACATCACATTTTCATTTTT